GCTAATGCCGGCTCGTCCCAATCCTTTGCTACGGTCGTGATGGTGGCATCACCGTAGAGATAGAGACCGAGCCAGGCGACCCAGAGGAGAAGCGAGGACAGACATGAGAGGAAAAGCCAGACAGCGTTGCACCTCCACTTCATCGTCTTCCTGCTCGACTCCTCTCTGTTGCTTCCTCCGCACAACACCACAGCCAACGACAACATGCTGGCCGCTAGCAACAACGCTAGAGCATAGCTACACACCAACACAAAGTCTAGAGGCAGGTAATCGCAGGCTGCATGTCCCTCGCGGACCACCGTAAGCAGCAGCCACTCTCCAGCAATGATGCCTTGAACCATAGTGAGTGTAAACGCCAATCCGGCGAGAGAGCTGCCTGCTGGGCTCCGCCTCCCTCCAGCCAGCTTCTTCAGTCGCACTCCCTGCACCAGCAGACAGGAGAAACACATCGCAAACAGCGCCCCCCACAGCCCGCGGCGCACAATGCAGAGCACCTCACCACGCCCTACCAAGAACACCAGCGATAGGCTGAAGAGACCCATGGTTCCGGCCAATAGGAGGAGGAGGGGACCGACGCCACATCGCTTCTCCGGTTCCGTTACCGTTTTCAGCTTGGCTAAAAGAATCACGGCTAGAATCAAAGCAGATATGGTACCGCCGCACGCTATGGCCTCCAGCACCACGCCCCACACGGACTCCAGATCGCACAAAACTCTGTAGGGCGTGTCCACTGTAGCGCCACATCCATGAGGAGGGGGCGGGGCTGTAACCTTGGGCGGGTCCTCAAGAGCGCAGCAGCCAATCAGTAAGAGAATGAAGATGAGGGTGGGCCTGAGAGCCATGGCTGTAAGGGAAAGAATACAACAAAATTAATTTTTTCAGTTTATTTTTTGCGGAAAGCCCAAAGTATGCTTAATTTTTTACACGTATGTGAGGGTCCGTGTGCAGTACAGTGTGATACAAATTTATTTACCAGAGCAGTATGCGTGTACAATACATGCACCACCAGAATAGTATGCTCATACTTTGTATGTGCAGGTCGCACATGTGCATTGAACTTGTTTTGCACTAATCAGTTGTTCCAGAAGGTGGCAACAGTGGAACTTAATTTTTATTATATAATAATAGTTGGGCTCTAATTTTTCAGATGCATTTGCTCATCCTCTGCTGCTGAGTTGTAAAAGCCGAGTGTAAAGAGGAGTCTGTCTCGCATCCTCTACCCCTTATAAACTCCCGACAGTTGCTATGGCAACCAGAGGCGCGCGTGGGCTGGCCTAGATGGAGCTGAGCGCAATTTATATAAAGAAGCCAGAAACGCACGCGCGCACACACACACACACACATGTGCATTGAACTTGTTTTGCACTAATCAGTTGTTCCAGAAGGTGGCAACGCTGGAACTTAATTTTTATTATATAATAATAGTTGGGCTCAAATTTTTCAGATGCATTTGCTCATCCTCTGCTGCTGAGTTGTAAAAGCAGTGTAAAGAGGAGTCTGTCTCGCATCCTCTATCCCTTATAAACTCCCGACAGTTGCTATGGCAACCAGAGGCGCGCGTGGGCTGGCCTAGATGGAGCTGAGCGCAATTTATATAAAGAAGCCAGAAACGCACGCGCGCACACACACACACACAGTGTGTTCAAGCATACACAACTTTAGGATCGAATTTATAAGAGTTATTTAAAGACAGCAAAATCCCAATGAACTAAAAAGGGTTAAAGAATAGATATGCAGGCAAAACAGTTATATAAACCACATCAAACCGCTGACAGCAATAGGTGTTACTCACCTTATGACTTCAGACTGTATTTTAGATCAAGCCTTGAACGCACTAGTCGATACGCATTTATTAGTGCAGGAGAGTTTCTGCACACATTCCCACAATCCAAATCTCTTCTTATGGTGTGGGAATTATCCTGAAAAATACAAACTCCTGCACTGACATTGCAACCGAACGCCGCGCTTTTCCTCGGTGCTCAATAGTTGAAAACCAGTGACAGAAAACCAGCTGATGTGCGACAGACAGCTTCACACCCACAAACTACATCTGTAAGAGAGCATCCTTATTTCTCGATTTCGCTGCTTCTTTCTTTCCTTCAGCCTGTTTTTGACCGTGTTAAATCTCCTCTTTCCGCGAGAGCTGTTGCTGGTTTCCTCCGCGGATCCGCGTGCAGTAGAGGGTAAAACTCACGTCTGATTCAATATAGACCTCAGTGGACCGCTGTTGTCACATGCATCTCTCTCTCTCTCTCTGAAGGACTTCATTTGCAGCACTGTGACTGCTGCTGATGCAGAGCCTATAAATAAACCACAGCGAACTCTCCAGCAATCATGCTTCTCACACTCTCGTGATGATCCAAACGGTCACACTTCTGGCCTAAAGATCTCCAGTTAGACCTCTCGCTGTCATAGACAACTGACAGGCCATACACACACTCACGGCCAGGTGTGTGTCCACGTGCAATGACTTGAGGGAGTCTTATGTAATAAAGATCCCAGCGCTTTAGGCCATACGTGTCCATTAGTGTGTGTGTGTGTGTGTGTCTCTTTAAGTAGCCTTCAGATAATCCTGTCCAGTGGTGCAGTGAGCCATCAGAGTATTAGAAAGAGTCTCCTCACCTCTCCTTTCATTATTTGTACGTGATAGTTTAGTTAGAGTATTTAACCAGTCACCAGTGAATAATTAGGATCTGAAAGGTAAATTTTGATCATAGATGCACACTCCTTATGCCTACAAAACCTACTGAGGCCTTACACACACACACACATGTTGGGTTTCCATGTTTTATGGGGACTCTCCATAGGCGTAATGTTTTTTCTACTGTACAAACTGTATTTTCTATCCCCTTACCCTAAACCTACTCCTCACAGAAAACTTTCTACAATTTTAGATATTCAAAAAAATTAAAATAAAAATTCATTCTATGTGAGTTATAAGCTTGTTTCCTCGTGGGGATAAAAAAAACAATGTCCCCGCAATGACAAGGATTTTGGATATTGCCATTTTTGTGCACTCTAAAAAATGCTGGGTTGTTTCAATCCAACTTTGGGTCAAATATGGACTAACCTAACCTTTGGGTTAAAAATTAAATTAAAAAATTTAGCCCAACAGCTGGGTTAGTCCATATTTGACCCAAAGTTGGATTGAAACAACCCAGCATTTTTTAGAGTGTGGGGACATTTTGTCCCCATAATGTAGGGTATACCTGAACCACACACACACACACACACACACACATACATACATGCATCAGCACACCGTAACGTAGGACTCCAGATTAGTGCTGGTTGACGATTAGGTTAAGCTGCATTCAGATGAATTGCTAAACTGCACTCGTTCAGCAGAACTTTGAGAGCTCAATAGGTAAGGCGACCATAAGACCATTCTGATGTATTTTGTCAAATGCATTACCAGCTAACAGGGATCGTTCTCAGAACTTTGGCTAACATTCTGGCAAGGTTCTCTCAAACTTATGAACAAACATTCTTCAAGTAACATTAACAGAACATTCATTCGGTGTTATCTGGTCTTTAATAATGTTCTCAAAATGTTAGCACAAAAACATTATTTATACATTGTTCATGTTTTTAAAAACATTTTAGTTGGATGCTCATTTAATGTTTTTTAAATGTTACTTATTGTTTCAGAACGTTCAGAGAACATTCAAAAGTAACGTTCCCATAACGTTTGAAAAATTATAAAAATGGAACGTTCCCTTAACGTTCGAATAACCAAGAAAAATAATTGAACCTTTCACAAGATATTAGAACATTTTAGACATCTATCTGAGCAAGTAAAAACTGATTTATCTGAAAGGAGTAGTCACTGCCAACATGTTCAGTGTGTAACACCTCACACAGGCATGAATGCAGCAGTAAAGATGCTGAGCTGGTAAAGCCTGTACTGACTTAACTTTATAGACAGATTATCCTCACTGCTGTCCTTATACTAACAGGTTATTAGGACACAGAGGACAGAGCCTCTAATCAGATGAAAAAAAGTATAATATTTATAATAAATGTATGTATATATATCAATTTTGTTAAATATTAAATAATATATATATATATATATATATTATATATATTCAAATCAGAGAATTAAAAACATTTTCATTAATTTCATTCTCTCTCAGTATTTTAAATGAAACTCTCATGTCAGGTCAAGTCAAGATTTAGTGTCGTCATTCTGCTGCACAGTGGAAAATGGACTGAAGTAGAATCACAGGAAGAGGACGAAGCCTAGGGTCTGACACAGTACTGTCGTATCAAAGTGCTCTACTGCACGCATGCACGAACTTACCAGTTGTTTGTGATGAATAATGATAATGTTATGAATCTAAAGGGTCAAAATTTCATTTGAATGGTTTTCCATTTTGTTCATTTCCCCACAATCCTCTTTTCTTCTCAAGTGCATTGCAAGGCTGTGAGCAAGCTAATGATGGACTTCAACTGAGGTTTTGTATGGAGGTTTCTTTTGTTGCTGTTTCATTTGTTAGACACTAGAGAGCGGCCTAGCACCTGATGTTTGTTTTGGGGTTAGCGGATCTAAATGAGGCTTTATAGACCTTTAGATTAAGAACAATTTAATCAAATAAACAAACATTGAAATAAACATTGCTGTGCAAAAATGGCATCAAGAAGTAAAATGTATTTTCCGCTCGATTATTCAGTACATCTTGAAGAGTTCATTATAAATGTGACCATAAAAAGACATAAATCACATATCTATCTATCTATCTGTAAGGAAAGAGAAAGAGAAACCCGTATGAGTCTTTTCATGTCATGGTGTTATTTTTCTTTGAACTAGGAAGCCCAATAATGTCCAGGGGTCTCATTTATAAAACTCTCCATAGATTTCATCCTAAAAGTGTACGTATGCACAAAAGCTAGATTTTGTGTACGCACAAAAGTTTTCAGAACCTGCGCAAAAATCCCTTTATGAACCCCAGTCAGGGGAATGAACCCCGTATTGCAGTGTAAATATTAAAATTACCAAACAGTGCGTACGCATGGTCTAGAATGTCCGTACGTTGCGTACATGTTTACGACCTGTTTATTTTTTATAAATCCCGATATGTGCGTGGAAAATCGCGTAAGCAATAAAAGTATTTTATAAATGAGACCCCAGAAGATGTTGGTGGTAGTTTTCTTTTGGTCTTCCATCTTTGCTTCAGGAGCTACATGCGTCTGTGCACATACACAAGGGTTTTGCAGCATGGGCAACGATGCTCTACGTCCTTGCAGGAATCCACACAGAACGGAATCAAACAACACGGCCAGATCCTGGACAGAAAACAGGATCCGTTTCATATGCTTTTCACATACTTATATTAGTTTCATATTCTTTATTTGGTTAGTGGTTCATTCATTCAATTCACTCAGCAACTACATATTCACAAAAATAACTCTTCGCTTTGAGGCGTGCATGTGAAATAACCTGCACTTCTGTACAGGTTAGTTGTAAGTGGCACATAAAAATAAAATAATGGTCGGTCAGCCGGTCCCTTCTCTAAGTGGGCAGTTCCTGCAAAGTGGACCAGATAGTTAAAAGTCTGTATGTGTGAATACCGTTCTTACCCTAAAATGCCAAGGCCTCCACAGATGGCCCACACCAACAGGCCACTGACATATGTGGTCTCTGTGACGACCTGCTGCTGGCAGTGAGGACATTTCATCTGCCCCGGGACGTCAGTCAGTCGTGGTGGCATAACTACCACTGTGGCTAAATGAAGAGACACATCTAATATGATCATAAACCTCTAATGTACTATTCTGTACAGATGCATCATGTGTATGCTGAAACCTTCTAGTGTTTGAACACAGACTGAGGCAGAGTCTCATTATACTAGTGCTTTTCTGCTCACCCAGGGCAGGTGCAGTAGACTGGACCATCTGAGTTACAGTGGACGACATGACCGTGGGCTGTGGGTAGTGAACTGCCATTGGAGCCGAAAGAGAAAACAAAGCTCATGATGAAAACCAACAGAACCAATCTGGCTTCTTATGCGACCATTATGTGTTGTTGGTTCTTTTAAAAGCTTTATAAATCATTCAGACTTGAGCTGAAGGAAATCTTAGCCTGTAAACTTTTGGTTTTTGTGCTGGTTGTCATTTAAACAGAGAGCCTTATAACACAAGACATCAACACTCACCGATGCCAGGCATTGATGAAGACTGGACTGTCTGAGTTACGGTGGATGAAGACATGACTGGCCCTTGTGCAAATGGAGCTGGGTAAACTGTTGCCATTGGAGCCAGAACACAGAAAACCATGATAGTGGCACAACATGAGGTTTAGTCAGAACTCAAAAGACCTTTCTCTAAGTTCACTTTCGAATTGCAAATAAAAAAAAAACATACACCCACCTTCCACCACACACTTTTTAAAAGACAAACATCACAGTGGGACAAAAAAAAAAATATATATATATATATGTGTGTGTGTGTGTCATGGCATCATGACTGTGCAGAGTTGTTTTCCTTTTCTATGTTTAGACAGTTGAGGCAGCATTTTGGAATGCTGTAGGACTTCTTTACAGTATCATTGTGGTATATTGAACCAGTTCAAATTTCCTTCTAAACTACAGTCTCATACCACACAGTAAATATCAGTTCTCACCAATGCCAGGTGACTGGACTGTTTGGGTTACGCTGGATCCCATGACTGTCTGTGTGGGCGGTGGACTGTATACAGTGGCCACTGGAACTGTAAAAAAGATCATTATTGAATCACTATAGTTAAATGACTGATAATCTCTGAATTGAGAATCAGGGGTCTGCTGACCTGGTTGGGTTTGATAGGCAACCTGTGGTGTCTGGTAGGAAATGTAGTTTTGGGCCATTGGTGGTCCAGGATATGGAGGGGGTGACAATCCTTTTTCCATTATCAGCAATCTGTGAATAAGAAAAAAAAATCAGTGTGACAGTTCTACAAAGCACAATGCAACAGTAATTGAGTAATAGACTGACTGCTGCCTTTGTCTCAAATCAGGAAAGTCACTATTGTGAAGGGTTTGGGCTGTGCATACTTTTGTAATGGCATCAATCTGATCTGGTGACTGGCTCAAAAATATGTTTGCATCAAGCAGGTTGTGTAATTCTAGAGGTTTGTGTCAGGTGAGCTAGGTGAACAGGAATGACATTCAGCCACGTATTATGGACCTTTTCAACAAATGTGGTAATCAAAGCATTGATTGGTTGGGCATTCAGGTATGTCCTTGCTACACCATCCAACAGCAGCACTTGTTCTTACAAATAATTTGGAGAATGTGGCTTTTAGTGGACATGAGAATCAACTTGATCACCTAACACTTCACAAACAAGGGTCACAATTAGGTCATTGTGAACATCATACATTTTATTTGATCATTTAAAAATCTATTTTTTAAATTAAATGTTTTACTGCAGAGTGTGCTTGTGAGTCTCTCTTTCAAACACAGCTTGCTTTGATATTTTGTATCTAATGCAAATGACTGTGCTATTCACTTTAAAAGTGCGACATAAGTGTCCAGTCTTCATCTCTCATTAACATGTGATCTGATCAGAGCCCCGAACAGCCAGTTTGACCACATTTGATCTGTCAGCGGTTCCTGTTCTGAGTGACAGGTGAGTTCGCAGAATGGGTTTTCGGAAACAGTGAGATTTTGAAAAATTGGTTAATTTGAACATTCTAAAAGTGAGGGAGTTTTAACGGTTTTTACAGCGCTGCGGTTCACCGACATGCATTTAAACACTGCGACAAACTGAACAGACGGCAATGAATAAAAAGTACGGTGACTCGGGTAAATTAGGACACTTTTGACGCTGACATTTACCTGATTTCACCCATCTTGTCTGTCAATAAGCCTTCGTAACCCAGGATCAAGATAAAATAAGCACCTGCATGTTTCGACATTTGTGCAAAAATGATATTACATTGTTTCTTGCCGTTTCAAAGTAAAATGTCCCACAAGTGGCGCTAAAAAGCGAGTTTACTTTCCTCTGAAACATAAATGTGACCGTGCCAACATTTTATTACCTTAGTTCATATCGCGGCAGTTTGGAAATCAAATGCCCGATGAATGGCGCCAAAAGGGTAACGCTCTATACGTTTTTTAAGATTTTCAAAAATGTAGTCTTCCAATGAACCTTTAATATTGCTTTTATCGTTATCTCAAGTTTTCACATAACAATTATCTGTATCCAGACATCACAAAGTGACTGTGGAAGCACATAATCCAAAATAAAAAATATGATCCCCATATTTTTCAGTCTAAAACACCAAACTTCTTATAATATGACACATACCTGTGTGTTTCTGGAGTTGGTGGAAAGCTATGGAAATTCTGATGTACTTCACTATTGATACTGGATAAGATAAGGGGTGGAGCTAAAACTAGGCTATTAGTAAGAAGGCTGATGCCAAGTTTCTCATAATATCATGCAAAAGAGCCTGAATGGTCACAAAGCACCTGAATTTCCAGTGCTGACACCTCCTAGTGTTTTATCCTCATCCCAGTCATTCTTATATCGGTCAGATTATCCAGTCTCAGACCGCTGACCTTCAAGTTCTCTCATATACTTGACATAAACACACTAACAAGAGGATTGTAGGCGTACGTTTGTGTTAAACTAAGAATTAAAAGAGGTTCAGTTTCAGCCTGTAATGTGCATGATGTTTGTTTAGGGGTTTGCATGTATCCTGGTAACAAATACACACTCGTGTAACTGGGCAGCAATGCTCGAGAATGAAACCAGATACATCACTAATGGATGCAGAGACAACAATGTATTTGTCTGTGTGATTTTAGTGTTTTATTCTGCTGACCATTTCATGACAATGTGTACATTTTATATACACATTTTGTATTCTGTTTTTCTATTTGTAAGTGAATGAGAGCTTTTGTCTCATTAGGTATCCCTGCAGCAGCCTACATTTGTGCAAAATAACAATGTCCTTTTCTGCATTTAGTTTCTTTATGAAGCTTCAGACCTGTAGCCAAATGTAAATGTACTAAAATGAACTTGTATTAAACTGATATTTTAAGTAATTACAATACAGTTTTCATAAATTACATAAGGTTAGCCAGTCTGGTTATTTATGACTTTTTAAAATCAATATTGTTCTTGTCTTTCTATGCAAACAGAGTACAGAAATAGTTCAGAATGAAAGTAAACATCTTTTCTTAACCCTCCCTCTGTGTCACATTTATGTTCAGTTTTAGCTTTAGTTTCTGTGATAGTTCATAGTTCATAGTTAGTTGCCTTGTTCACTCATTTGATTAGTCATTCTATTCAGCTGTTACCCAATTGGTTCGCTTTTTTTGATCTGTGTATATAGTTCCTGTGTTTTCGGTTCTCATTTGTCCGGTCTCATCTAAGTATGGTTGTGTTAACTTGCCTGCCTTCTTTTGGATTTTCCTGTGAATATTATTAAAGACTGTTTTTGAATCTGAATCTTCTTTGTTGTCCTCATCTCTAAAACTAAGTTGTGACACTCTGTGCAGACAGTGGAGAAAAAAAAGAAAAATAAATAAAAAAATTAATAAACTATAAAATAAACACATAAAATAGATAACATGATGAATAACACAATACATAAAAATACACATAATGATAAAAGTTATTGTTAAAGCTAACAAACAAACAATAAATAAAACACCCAACATACTTCTGTTTCATATCATGTTCCTGTCTTGTCTGGACTTTTATGTTGAAGTGTTTACTGTGTGCTGTTCCTGTTTTCTTGCTTGCCTTGCTGCCTTGTTTGTCGCTATAGTTACCCTTGTTTGTTCCCATAGCAACTAATCACCTCCACCTGTCCCTTGTTAGCCCTGGTTTTCTTGTGTATGTATATATACCCCAGTGTTTTCCTATGTTATTTGTAAGGTCTTGTCCTTCATGGCAGTAAGTTTGGTGTTCTCATTCCGTTTCCTGTTCCTGGTTATCTGTGCGTCATGTTTGGTTCATTTGTATTTATTTTTAATAAAGCTCACTTGGATCCAGCTCCTCTTTGTTTTTCACCTCACTTTACACTTCACTGTAATAGTAACCGTCATTTTAGACAATCACACTTCCGTCAACATCATCTTCCAGTGTAATGTCACCGTTTTCCATGTAAACAAATTTGCCCCATGTCTTCTCAAATAACCATGATTTTTTTAAAGATTGAATATTGTTTTTTCTCCATTGAAACCTAAGATGATAATTATTTAAGCCAGGCAGCAGGTTAAGAGGTTCTATAGATTTCTATTTTACAGCCATACACTTTTTTTTTTAACTTGCTTGCTACAAACGTGAAACTACATTCAAGCTACTATAAAAGAAGTTGTGACACTCTGTGCAGACAGTGGAGAAAAAAAAGAAAAATAAATAAAAAAATTAATAAACTATAAAATAAACATAAAATAGATAACATGATGAATAACACAATACATAAAAATACACATAATGATAAAAGTTATTGTTAAAGCTAACAAACAAACAATAAATAAAACACCCAACATACTTCTGTTTCATATCATGTTCCTGTCTTGTCTGGACTTTTATGTTGAAGTGTTTACTGTGTGCTGTTCCTGTTTTCTTGCTTGCCTTGCTGCCTTGTTTGTCGCTATAGTTACCCTTGTTTGTTCCCATAGCAACTAATCACCTCCACCTGTCCCTTGTTAGCCCTGGTTTTCTTGTGTATGTATATATACCCCAGTGTTTTCCTATGTTATTTGTAAGGTCTTGTCCTTCATGGCAGTAAGTTTGGTGTTCTCATTCCGTTTCCTGTTCCTGGTTATCTGTGCGTCATGTTTGGTTCATTTGTATTTATTTTGAATAACGCTCACTTGGATCCAGCTCCTCTTTGTTTTTCACCTCACTTTACACTTCACTGTAATAGTAACCGTCATTTTAGACAATCACACTTCCGTCAACATCATCTTCCAGTGTAATGTCACCGTTTTCCATGTAAACAAATTTGCCCCATGTCTTCTCAAATAACCATGATTTTTTTAAAGATTGAATATTGTTTTTTCTCCATTGAAACCTAAGATGATAATTATTTAAGCCAGGCAGCAGGTTAAGAGGTTCTATAGATTTCTATTTTACAGCCATACACTTTTTTTTTTAACTTGCTTGCTACAAACGTGAAACTACATTCAAGCTACTATAAAAGTAATTTATAGTACTTACTGCATTAAATCTGTCTATTGTGCACTGAAGATGTGTAAGGCAGTATATTTTTAATTATGTGGTTAAATAATATATAATTTAATTGAAAATGTATTGATTTTTAATTAGGATTTCTGCTTGGATACCCAGGTGAAAAAGAAATATATTTAAATTGTGCTTTTTCAGACATACTTACTATATTTAAATTATACTATACTAAGTGCATATTAAATGTATTATTTTGAAACAACTTTAAGTATATTAAGTGTATTTCAATCAATGTTTAAGTTTGATTTTAATCTATTTGTAATATATTTAATATATTGAAATTGTGTTAAAATGGAACCACTTTAAGTATATTTAGTGCAATTTAAGTGTAATTCTTAAAATACATTTAAAATGTCCTTTTAACACTTCATGAACTACAGTTAAGAGTATATTTGAAGCATCGTTTTAATGTACTTCAAGTACATTTCAATTGTATTTCAGCTCATTGGAAATGCATTAGCATTACACTACTAGTATATTATAAAGCTGCTTTTTTCAGTATATACACACACGTACACACTTTGATATCTACAAAACTTTAATGTATTATATATTGTTGCATACATTACAAAGATTCATAAAGTACACTAAAAAAGGACAGCAGCATATATACTTCGGTGAAAAACAAAACAAAACATACTATTAAATGTATTAAAAATGCACTTGAAATACAAGTATGTTTATAGTATATTTGTATTACTACAAACATACTCAAGTACATTTTAATACATTATAAAAAAACAAATAAAAAAAGACTGAAATGCTATGGCAGAGCTATCTTTTCAGTATCTTTTCAGAACATTTCAGTTATACCGGCCTTACTAAAAAGTACAGAATTTTACATCAATGAATAAATAAAAATTACAATGCAATTTTCTGAAGAAAAAAAAATACATAAAAATTACTGAAAAACAAAGTGCATAAGTGAATAGCTGTGTGTGTGCAAAGACTGAAGATGATAAAGTTCAAGCAACAGAATAGGGAGGGATGGAGGAGGTTTTGGAGGTGGACAAGGAGATGGCGTAGGGATGGTGAGAGGCAAAAGTGCGGGGATGATGGCAGGATGTCAAGTCAAGTCAAGTTTATTTGTACAGCACTTTTCACGATACAAATCATTGCAAAGCAACTTTACAGCAAATTAAGTTTCTACAATATAAGATGCTCCAAACCATCTAAGACTTTCGTTCATCTTCAAAAGAAAAGCTGAGATATTTTAATACAAATCTGAGAGATTTATGTCCCTCCGATGAAAGAAGATTCACCAAAGATGTTCATGTTTCAAAAAGTTGAAAGTGCAAAAAAACATCGCCAAAGTAATCCATATGAATTGCGTGGTTTCCTCTAAGTGCCCTAAAGAGACACTACGTCCTTTTCACCTGGGTATGTTCCAAAATGCTCAAAAAGTTTGCCTGTGTATGAAGAGATATAGAGAGATTAATACTTTCCTTCAGAAAACCCAATTAGCAATGCTTTGCCTGTCAGACACTAGATACAGATATTGTTATTATCCTTTTTGTGTGTGCATCAGGACACTGGATGCATCTTAATGGGGAGGATGGTAAGCATAATGTAGACCAAACAAGCATGAATAAAATGGTTGGTCTGCCCTCTTGTGTTCCTGCAAACAGCCAGTGAACCAATTCCACATTCCAATTATTCAGTAAAAATACCTGAGATGAGTATCCATTTGTTCAGCTCTGCTTTCCCTTACGAAAAAGAAGTTTATTCAAGTGTGCTATTAGTATACTTCTTTTAAACTAAAAAATAGGAAAGTATACTTTTAGTCTACTTTTTATGTACTTCTCAGAAATATACTTAAAATGACATTTAAGTATAATAAAATAAACTTGAAGTATACTACTTTTTGGTAAGGGTTGTGAGTGCTTTTGTAACACTGACCATTTAATGTCCTTCTTGAGCACTGCCCAGTCCAGATCTTTTCACAGTCTGTTCCTTAGTTCCTCCAGTACCTCGAAGTGAACCTGAGATTGTTGTTCTCCAAGTTCTTACAAAAAAAATGGGTATGAGGCTTCAAAGAAAACAACTCTCTTCATCTTCAAGAGGGGTGTGCATGATATCTCTCTAAGGAGTATGTGCATGATTTTTAGACCAAACTGGATACTGCAGGCCAGTGGATTCCAGATTTTTCTCTATTATTCTGAATATTTATGTACCCTCTGCCAAATCTCTCCTTGCAACATGAAAAGACACTTTGGCATGTTGATGTTTCGATTGTTGAGGCAAACACCACCAAACTGAAGCTTCAGGTGTGTATGTATAACAAGTGATGTTCCACTGCAAATAGAGCTTAAACAGGAGTTGTTTTATTCATATATATATATATATATATATATATACATACACACACATCATAAAAACATTAATTTGTACATACAGTCCCAGTGGAAAGCATGCGGCATCCTTCCAGAGAAAGTGTAATTCTATTACTAGAAATATCTGTCTAAACTATTGTTCTACACATTTGTCAGGTTGTGATTTAATCTATGCATCTGTTCTACAGGATTTCAAAATATAAACTCATTAACTCCCATATGAAATATACGAATGGATTGGATAGAGATATTGCAACAAAAGGTAAGTTAATAGACTTTGTAGTAGTTGTGTACAGAAGAACAAAAGACATATCTTCGGTCACCAAAACTTTGTAATAGGGTAACATAATGCAAAAATTTATTTCTGGGCAAGGAGTTCTCAGTTTTTTGATGGTTTCATCATGTTCTCTGGTGCAGCATGTGCTACAAACGTTTGTAAATGTGGATTATGTTCTTGCAATTTGGACAGGTGTGTTTCACATCCTTGCATGCGTCCACACAGAACGGGATGCAACAACAGAGCCAGCACCTGAAAAAACACAGCAGACAAGCTCTAAATATCAGCAGTCTATGAATTAAATATCAGCAATCTGTGCATACTTACACAAAAATCACAAGGCTTCCGAAGATTAACCAGGTGAGCAATCCATTCATATATTCGATTTCCGTGATGATGTCCGTCATGCAGTGAGGACAGGTAATGCGGCCTGGCATATCAGTGAGATTCACGACCGCCATCTGGGCAACTGCATATGTACAAATGCATTGATTAAACGCAGAACGAATGCAAAAAGAACAGCTAGTGTAAGCTAGTATTTGCACAGTAAACCATCAGAAGGACATCCATCAGATAAAAAAAAAAAAAACATTTTAGGGGTTGCAGGGCTGTGCCTTTCATTATTAGAGATATTTTAGTAATTAATTATAAATAGATACTCTCTTTAATTCATAGCTTGAATAAAAACGTTAGAAATACTGGGTCTTGGGTGCTGGAAACTCACCTATAGGGACCATCGTGGGCTGGATAGTGATGGTTGGATACCCAAACCCATATGGAGGTGGCTGGGAAGGTGCAGCTTGTGGACCTGTGAAAGAGCCAAAGCACTGGTTGATATAACACTGAATTGTTTGATTCCTGATTGTTCGGAATCAAGTTCAGAATTTTCACAAACTACTTGAAGAACGTGTGAAGGTTAGGCCCTTTTAAAACAGGACATTACTTAAATTTAAATTGTTCAGTTGCTGGTTTAATTGTGTTCAGGATCATTAACATGCTATATATATTATCCAGTCGTGAAGCTTTGGCTGATGGATGGACATTGTGAGGTTCACCCGTAAAATTTGCTTGTACAGGTGCATCTCAATAAATTAGAATGTCGTGGAAAAGTTCATTTATTTCAGTAATTCAACTCAAATTGTGAAACTCGTGTATTAAATAAATTCAATGCACACAGACTGAAGTAGTTTAAGTCTTTGGTTCTTTTAATTGAGAGGATTTTGGCTCACATTTAACAAAAACCCACCAACTCACTATCTCAACAAATTAGAATACTCCATAAGACCAATAAAAAAAAACATTTTTAATGAATTGTTGGCCTTCTGGAAAGTATGCTCATTTACTGTACATGTACTCAATACTTGGTAGGGGCTCCTTTTGCTTTAATTACTGCTTTTCCACGACGTTCTAATTTATTGAGATGCACCTGTATATTCCAACATTCATTGTTCGGTGACTTTGAGATGCCCAGGAAACCCAAGGCATCTTTTTTTTTCTCTAAAACTTTAATTCTTCTGATAACTTCCAGGATGAATATATATATATATATTACACAGATTTTCACAGTCACAGATTTCACCTCTATGGTGTATGTACAGTATGTTTCCATGTTTGCCACTCTCTCCAATAGTCATTCATTAGTACCAATCTACTGGATTTAAAGGAATAGTTTAATTTTAGTAGTAGAGTTCTAAACAAATATGTGGGTGGATTTGGATGTGATAGGACAACAGGGGATGGGCCTTTTCATTAAACGAAATGCTATTATTGATTATGGACTGATATTTGGCCAGAAGCGCCGGTTTGAAATTAAAATGCCTTGATGGATTTGTTTCTTACAAACATGCAGCTTTTAGCTTCACACGACATTAATTGATGGACTAAAGTGGTGTGGATTACTTGACGGCACCCATTGACTGCAGAGGATCCATTGGTGAGCAAGTGATGTAATGATAAATCTGTTCAGATGAACAAAAAAAAACAACTTATCTACATATTGGATGGCCTGAGGGTGAGTACATTTTAAGTAATTTGTGTTTTTTGGATGAACTATTCATTTAATAGAGGTCAAAATATTGTAACAGTTTCATATACTATTCTTACACTCGTAAATCATAATCTGAGATCACACAAGCCAAAGTCTGTGTTTGTTTTACAGGGAACATCTGACGTCACAGATTGAAACATCACATATTTAACTTCCTTATAACCCCTTACATAAAACTGATAATACGTGTGCAGTTTCTACAACAAAGACCGTTGAATATTGGCTCACTTTTTGGGGTTGAGATTCTAAAGTTTTCACTAACTTTTATTACATTGGTGCGTAATCATCCTGTTCGTTCTTATTAGTGTGATTAAAGTGGAAGATCAGCTGACCTGCTTGAGATGGGTATGCTGCCTGCTGCCCAGGGTAGTTTATGCCTGTCTGGTCCATATGAGGACTAGAATAATGCGGGGGTGAGTAGTCTTTCTCCATTATCAAAAACCTGTGGATGCAAAAACATAAAGACGAGGAATTGGAAAATAGACGTACGTTTCTTTATATTCGTCATGTCATTTTCTCTCTTTCCTAATCTTGTTCTGCTAATTTTTCTATCGCTACAGCACATGCCACAAACAGCACACACTGTATATATTATCACGATAGCACTGACTTATCAATGCAAAGCTCAATAACATATCCCTTTATGTACTTGACATATAACAAAAGCATAACCTTCACTTTAATGGAAAAATTGTGTGCACAACACGTACCTGTGAGTCCCTGTATGCGTTGTGTTGCTTCTCCTCTCAATGTACAGCAGGATCTGGATGGCTGCGACTGAGAGCGAGAGGGCGTGGACAGCAGGCTACAGTCATAAATGTGGGCATAAAACTACAGACGAGATAACAGTGACACTTACTGCATAGACAGGGTTATCTTTACATCAGTTGTGACCAACCTGCCTGTTTTCCAAGACAAGGAGAGAAAGAAAGCATCGTTATCATGCTTACCAAGTTATTTTTCCACTTGTTTAAATACTTCCCTTTAATGTTAGAGCAAATTTTGGCAGACTTGTGATTTAGATGGCACTGTCCATGAACAGGTTACATAATCGGGCCTAAATTATCACTCAGGAGGGTCTAACCAGATGGGAACCAATTGTTGGTTTTTGGCTATTGATAAACTTGTGAAGATGTTGTTAGATTTTCTTCTTATAGTAACTTAACAGGGTTGAATAGTTCAGTTTGATGAATGCAGTTTACACAATTATATCTGTATTATTATTTTTTTTACTTGTCTTCATGCCATGCTGTAAAAAGATCCAAATGATGTCACTTCCTGGGTGTCAACATTGTTAAGCAATGTTACATGTTATGTAATAGGGCAAAGTCATGCATTAACAGGAATGCATATTACGTTTGGTTGTTGAAAATGACAAAATATTGACATTTGATGTGTCTTTGATGTGTTTAATTTTTAATAAATAGCCTGTTTGTGTAGTACCATATGCAGATTATAAACCACTTTATCATGTTCTGATTTGATTTCAATGGTTTGATTCCTTTCTGATTATATTTGTAGTGTGTTCATACACTGCTTATATGTAATCTGAGACCAGATTTGTGACTTTACTGCAGTCGAGTTCCTCTCTTCCACTTCTTTTGGGTGATGTACACACGCTGTAAATGTATCGTTATATTTTGCTCTGTCAGTTGTACTAATTGCTCGCAAAACGTTAATGTGATACTGCATCATGGGAGGAAGTTTCCATTAACCCAGTGAAACAGATGAGTGCTGTTCCATTTTATGTTGATTCATATCACATATCACAGTCCAGCGTTTCCTGGAATTAGTCAGTTATTAACCTTAGTGAAGCAACATGATGTCAATTAAAATCCTGCTAGAAAGAGGAAGCACCTGACTGTAGAAACACAGAGAGGCCAGCATATCCTGGGTAAACAACTGACCATGTCACCCTTCACAGTCCAGCATGCAATGCTGAAAATTCTTTGTTTTCTGTGAATTTGGTGACATAAACCTTTATATTGCTAAAGAATCTAATGTTTAAAGCCTTGATTTTCCATGCACTCTCCAAAACCCCTCTCTACGATTGCGTGTGAAACAGATGAGTGCTGTTCCATTTTATGTTGATTCATATCACCTCAATCTGAGTCCAGCGTTTCCTGGAATTAGTCAGTTATTAACCTTAGTGAAGCAACATGATGTCAATTAAAATCCTGCTAGAAAGAGGAAGCACCTGACTGTAGAAACACAGAGAGGCCAGCATATCCTGGGTAAACAACTGACCATGTCACCCTTCACAGTCCAGCATGCAATGCTGAAAATTCTTTGTTTTCTGTGAATTTGGTGACATAAACCTTTATATTGCTAAAGAATCTAATGTTTAAAGCCTTGATTTTCCATGCACTCTCCAAAACCCCTCTCTACGATTGCGTCGGTTGGTTATTTTCACAGCTACAATATGACGGCTGTGCAAATGGATTTTTAAATGCCAGTCACAGTTTTTATTGTATTTCTTATTTTGGTATTGCAATTTCTGGGATGAAAAAAAAATACAGAATACATAATTGAAATGCGGGACGCAGCTTACATCTTGCGGGACACGGGACAGAGCTCCCAATTTCGGAACTGTCCCGCAAAATGCGGGACGGGTGGTCACCCTAGAACTCTCGCGTGCGTAACGCGTCCTTAGGAATACAAACATTCGGTGACTCCAAATACTACGGGACCTACAGGATAATAAATACTTTCATTTACACCAAAATATGATGTCATCCCAAATTTTAGTGTCTCGCCCCTATTTTGACACGTGGGTAGCGGCGCAGAATGAGAAATAGTAGAACTACATCAAAATTTTTACTTTGAGTTCAGCACACAATTGAAATGGATTTTGGTCAGATTGCAGATTAAAGTCATAAACCTGTCTGTATCTGTCAGGCTGAACCGGGAGGTGAAGCAGACTCTTGAGTTAGACTGGTCTGATAAGCAGCTGGCCTACAGTGTGGGTGACCGGTGTGGACGCTTTAACAACAGGAGCACCGACACACAACGGCATCCCAGCTCAGCTGTGCTGTAGGACCAGTGCGTGTCAAACCTTACCTCTGCTCAGTTGGAGTGATACAACTTCATTTTCATTCCACACACATTAAAGCAGTCTATCAAGAACAATTTTTGGCATCATTGGGTTTCTGATAATGCATAACACTGCCAGCAGTTTAAGACCGCAGCTGTTGTAGTGACAGCATCTCAGATGTGTTTCTCTGTAGGGTGTGCGATGAGGAGGTTTGGTGTAAGTTTACTGTGGATAACCTGCGGCTGGCAGAGAGAGAGGAGGTGGCGAGCCAGGCCTTGAGGCGGCTGATTGAGCGGGTACTGCAGGAGACGGCTGAGGATCTCCAGACGCAGTGTGCCGCTGTAGATCGGACCTTGAACCAGTGCTGCATGGAACTGAGCCAAGCCAAAACACAGCTGGAGCTGCACCTGGCACAGGCAATACACATTTACACAAAACAAAAGCCAATACATGTACACAAGGTTTCACATATTATAGGGTCTATTTAATCTGCAGATTTCATACAAATAAACATAAATCAACGGGTTAAAATTTTGAACACTATCAATGTTTAAAGGAATAGTTCACACAAAAATGAACATTTACTGAAAGTTTACAGATTTGGAGAAATGTAGCATTCCATAATTTGCTCACCAGTGGATGCTCTGCAGTGAATGGGTGCCGTCAGAATGAGAGTCCAAACAGTGGATAAAAACATCACAATAATCCACAAGTAATTCACACCACTCCAAGTTTTAACTTTAAACCATTGCTTCTAGCCAAAATATCTTAGTCCATGCTTCATAATAACACTTCCTCCAGTGAAAAAGTCCATCCCCGGTAATTGATGGATTGGAGCAGTGTGGATTACTTGTTGATTATTGTGATGTTTTTATCAGCAGTTTGGACTCTCATTCTGACGGCACCCATTCACTGCAGAGGATCCACTGGTGAACAAATGATGGAATGCTACATTTCTCCAAACCTGTTCCTATGAAAAAACAAACTAATCTACATCGTGCATGGTCTGGGGATGAGTACATTTTCAGCAAAATGTAATTTTTGGATGACCTTTTCCTTTAATATGTCTGTGTAATAGATTCTGGAGCAGATTGGGGCTCAGGAGAGGAATATCTCATCCCTGCAGCAAGCTGTATATGATAAAGAAGCTCCGCTCAGAGTGGCTCAATCTAGACTGCATTACCGAACCTTCAGACCCAACATGGAGCTGTGCCGAGACCAGCCTCAGCTCAGGTACATACACACAAAAACATGCACACACACATACACACTCCCAACACGCATAAACCCATCTGATGTGTGTGTGTTTATGTAGTTTGTTAGGTGAGGCGTCAGAACTCAACAGTACAGTATCAGCCCTACAGCAGCAGCTGTATGAAGCACGCAAATCTTTTTCTGACCTGGAGGAAAGCAGACTGTCCCTGGAGAAAGACATCTCTTGCAAAACAAACTCCCTCCTCATCGACCGAGAGAAGTGTATGACGCACCGCACACGCTACCCTTCTGTCACAGTGCTGTCTGGATACTGACAGTCTCATAATATGCACTATTCACCAGAAGGTCTGGATCCATTACAGTAACTTCCAGTGGCATGCAGTGTGTGTGCATTTTATCAGTGTTGTTTGAATGCAGTTTTAAATGATAAATTATATCTTTAAGTGGTTTAGTGTATACCTTTTATTTGACATTTATATTTCTTTCTACATACTGTATTATAAAAGAAGTGAATTAAAAGTGAACTGTCTTAGGCCTACACAAATTTACACTTAAAAAAGTTATACTATTCAAAAATTTTAATTCTGTCCTCATTAACTCACCCTCATAACAATTCAAACCTATATGGCTTTATTTCTTATGCAGAACACAAAAGATTCTGATTCTGAAGAATGTTTTTTTAACTGTTTTTGCCTATACAATGAAAGTCAGCAATGTCCAAACTAAAGCTGTATACCACTGACTTTTATTACATTATGACAGTGTTTGTTAATGATTAATGAAAATTCAAACATACATGACATATGAAAACTATTATTACTGTAGACTACTTTGAGCCCACAGACTGTCTGATGCAAATACAGACAAAACTGGAAAGCACTTTCTCTGTTTTAAGTTTACATGAGAAACAATTTCATCAGGCGGGGCCTGTGGCTAATGTGACGTCACATTAGCACCAATGCTGAAAACAGGTCGTTGGGAGACACTGCTTATGATTTATGGGGATTAAAAATAAGGAGTGGGTGGATTTTTATCATTGTAGGGTGGTTGTGTTCACACACTGCCTATATGGCTTTATTTCTTATGCAGAACACAAAAGATTCTGATTCTGAAGAATGTTTTTTTAACTGTTTTTGCCTATACAATGAAAGTCAGCAATGTCCAAACTAAAGCTGTATACCACTGACTTTTATTACATTATGACAGTGTTTGTTAATGATTAATGAAAATTCAAACATACATGACATATGAAAACTATTATTACTGTAGACTACTTTGAGCCCACAGACTGTCTGATGCAAATACAGACAAAACTGGAAAGCACTTTCTCTGTTTTAAGTTTACATGAGAAACAATTTCATCAGGCGGGGCCTGTGGCTAATGTGACGTCACATTAGCACCAATGCTGAAAACAGGCCATTGGGAGACACTGCTTATTATTTATGGGGATTAAAAAAAAAGGAGTGGGGATTTTTATCATTATAGGGTGGTTGTGTACACACTGCCAACACACATTTATGTTTTGTATAATAGGTCCCCTTTCCAGCAGCTTAGTAGGTAGTTGAGGGGGTTTAGTCTAGTAGGGGTGTAGTCTATATAGTTTAGGGATATTGGTAAATAAGTCTGTGAAATGTATGTGAATTCAAAAAACTGTACCACAATGCCAAAGTATAGTTTAACTTATTTAATTTGCCTTGCACAGATTATTGAATCTTAAATACAAAAGGTTATACAGCATCAGAAAAACGTAAAGTATACAAATGAAAGCTGTATATAAGGTAAAAGAAATATATGAAATGTGTATAGGATAAATGAGTAAATATACAAAAATAGAAATAAATATACAGGGGGAAAAAAATCACAAATTACTAAATTGCAGTGATGGCTTCGGTTACAACACTTTCATTGTATCAAATTCTTCTATTTACCATGTGTTTATTGGCATCTACTGGTCTCTTATCAGTCCTGGCCATTCCAGTCATTTAAATAGATTGACTAATCACGCTCCTCCAATAGCTGGTGGGTGTCCTGGTACGCTTCGACTGACTTTGCATCATTTGGATGGATGCTGCACACAGGTGGTGGTAGAGGAGATTTCTCCACTCTGTCAGAAGGTCTCTCTCCGGTGTGAATTCTCATGTGACTTTTAAGGCTTTGTTTCACTGTGAAACTCCTTCCACATTCAGAGCAGATGTAAGGTTTCTCTCCAGTGTGAATTCTCGTGTGTCTCTCAAGGCCTTGTTTCACTGTGAAACTCATCATACAATAAGGGCAGGCAAAAGGTTTCTCTCCAGTGTGAATTTTCATGTGCCTCTCAAGGGTAATGTTCATTGTGAACCTCTTTCCACACGCAGAGCAGATGAAAGGCTTCTCTCCAGTGTGAATTCTCATGTGGTTTTGAAGGTGTCCTTGCTGCATGAAACTTTTTCCACACTCAGAGCATGTGAAATTCTTCTCTCCAATGTGAATTCTCACGTGTCTCTTAAGGCCTTGTTTCACTGGGAAACTCTTTCCACACTCGGAGCAGGTGAAAGATTTCTGTCCAGTGTGAATGGTTATGTGACTTTTAAGGTGCTCTTGTTCTGTGAAGCTCTTTCCACACTGAGGGCAGGTGAAAGGCTTCTCTTCCATGTGAATGCTCATGTGTCTCTTAAGGTTTCTGTTCACTGTGAAACTCCTTCCACACTCAGAGCAGGTGAAAGGCTTCTCTCCAGTGTGAATTCCCATGTGACTTTCAAGGTGTCCTTTTTCCGTGAAGCTCTTTCCACATTGGGTGCAGGTGAATGGTTTCTCTACAGTGTGAATTCTCACGTGTCTCTTAAGGCTCCTGTTCACTGTAAAACTCTTTCCACAATCAGAACAAGTGAATGGTTTCTCCCCAGTGTGAATTCTCATATGAATGTTAAGCTTTTGTTTCTCTATGAAGCTTATCCCACACTCGGAGCAGGTAAAAGGCTTCTCCCCAGTGTGAATTCTGATGTGTCTCTCAAGGCTTTGTTTAAATATGAAACTCTTTCCACACTGAGGGCAGATGAACGGCTTCTCTTCCGTGTGAATGCTCATGTGCTGCTTAAGGTTTGCTTGCATCTCATACTGATGACATGTGACAGAATCTTCTTTCAGTTCTTTAAGATCTAAAATAATCAATGTCAAAAATCACTTTATGGACAATTACATTGAGACAGTAACAGCTGCACAGTAACGGATAGTAATAGATGTGCACCCCAAACAATAGAGTAAGATGAACATAATAAATATCAAGCGTAGCGTTAGTTCTGGTAGGTCACGTTAGTCAAGCTCGCATCAGCTGACTCTCAGCTGATCCCCATCTACCTATAGGAATACGACACCTATCTAAGCATTCATATATAAGGTCCCTCAGTATTATCAGCAGTTTTCGCATTGCTCAATAGCTAATTACCCTTCTCCATCCCCAGCTCCTCCTCTGTCAGTCAGGATTCAGCCTTCTGATTCTCTTTTGAATCAGACTAATTCTAAAATGTGTACATAAAATTATTGAACTTTAACAATATCTGCAATGCATTTATGTTGGTTCTGGTCTGTTTAACCTGGGGGAGTTATCGCTGCTCTCCCTGCTCTCATCCATGCTAGGCTGCATGGATGCGCAGGGAGTTCTTGCCCAGAACAGAACCATACCGCCAATCCAAACTGTATGCTAATTGTCAATCATCTTTGACGATAGTGGTCCTGACAGAAATGTATCTTGACTAAATCAGATTAGAGTTTGGGATGCACATGAGTACTCAAGTAACTTAAGCAAGAATCTGTTTTAAATTGTTATTACACAACTCTCTTGAATTCTTCATTCTGATTGGTCAAACATGGCTTCTGATATATTTATTGTATATATAAAGTTGTCCAAGGCAACTCAGGTTTTTAGTTCGCTGATCTGGGTAACTGAAACCTGCGGCATGTTTTCATATCTCTCACATCACACTATGAACTGAACTCGTTTCATTCAAATGAAAATGCATATTTCAGTATTAATATTTTTTGAAGTGTTCATCTTGTTGCTCAGTTAATTTTTATGTTGCAGTGGACTATTTGTTTTTCTTAGCAGAAGCTTTAAGATAATATATAGGACCACAGATACCTCAAATCAGTATTTCATATCCACCTGTTTATTTTTATGGTGAGCAGAGCTGTGTAATAAGCAGGATAATGTACAGTTAGTTGATCAACATACTTTTTACACAAATAATTTGTTGTGATGCCATATTCAACAAAAATACATTTAAAAAAGTATTTTTCTTTAATTATATTGACAATATAATGTGATATAAAATATAATGTTGAATATGGTGTTAAAATATTATTAGAATGTAGGCCTATCCCTAGTTTCTCTGACCTGCTGTTGTACTTGAGTGGTCTTCACTGCATGGAAGGAGGCATCTGGCTTTAAATATATATATATATATATGAACTTTTTTTTTAGTTGAAACACTTGAGCATTATGTGCATAAACATTTAATGATACTTTACATGATTTGTCAAGAAATTGACCTGATTTTTGCCCATTTCTCATGAGACTTCTCATTAGTTAATTTTACCAACAAGAATTAATCATCTTATCAAATCAAAAAAATCGCGTCTTCTAAGACATTGGCCTTCTCTGGTCTAAATTTTAGTCTGTTATTTTTTAAATACAGTTGGTCTGTATATTCCCAGCTATTTCGGACATTTAAACATCTGGAGTAACAACCTTTCCAAATCGGCATAAATGTGATATAAAAATGTTGAATATGGTGTTAAAATATTATTAGAATGTAGGCCTATCCCTAGTTTCTCTGACCTGCTGTTGTACTTGAGTGGTCTTCACTGCATGGAAGGAGGCATCTGGCTTTAAATATATATATATATATGAACTTTTTTTTTTGTTGAAACACTTGAGCATTATGTGCATAAACATTTAATGATACTTTACATGATTTGTCAAGAAATTGACCTGATTTTTGCCCATTTCTCATGAGACTTCTCATTAGTTAATTTTACCAACAAGAATTAATCATCTTATCAAATCAAAAAAATCGCGTCTTCTAAGACATTGGCCTTCTCTGGTCTAAATTTTAGTCTGTTATTTTTTAAATACAGTTGGTCTGTATATTCCCAGCTATTTCGGACATTTAAACATCTGGAGTAACAACCTTTCCAAATCGGCATAAATCATTTGATACTCGTCACATTTCATTAGTCGCAGTCAACAGAATAAACATAATCTTATTTGATTCTTTGTAACTGACAAAGAACCAACTTACACTGCCTTTTGTTCTTGCAATCTTGTATAGGTGAGGACTGGCAGGTTTGCGCATCTGGAGTCTCTGTGGTCTGATTGTTTTCATGCTGCTCCATCTTTATCACCAGGAAATGTTCGATGCCGCTCATTTCATCAGCCTCCATCAGTCAGGTTTCATTCACTCTATTCTCTAATGGATATTCTACAACCAAAACGGATTTGGTTTGAAATCACTGATTTGGCTTGCTTTTTAAATAAGTTTCCAAGTGTCCATATACGAAGCGGTTATTCAGTGCGCATCTCAAACTGGTTCAGTCACGTGACTTCAGCACCGAGGCCATGCTGCCGCGTCATATACTGCTCGGAAACGCTTTGATATTTCAAGTGTTCACCGCCAGGGGGCGACGATCTGCTGAACCAGCCTTTTAGATCAGGGGTGCCCAATCTTGTTTCTGGAGATCTACCTACCTTCAGAGCTCAAATCCAACCCTGAGCACGTACCTGTCTATGCAAAATGTGCAGTGTCTGCAAAAATCCAAAAAGCCTCTCTTTGTAACAATTTATAACAAAGAGAGGCTTTTTGGATTTTTGAGTTGAAACCATTAACCCTGACTGGATTAAATGAAGAGATGGATCTTGTATGTTTTTTGTAAAGGGAAATTGCTGGTATGACAATTATCCCTCATTGATCAAGATCAGCTGTCAACAATTTGCAATTGTGCCTATATAAGTGTGTTGTTGCTTTTTTGTCTTATGTGCACTGAAGAAAGCATGGGCTGAAACATCTGCTCTTTGGTCTGTTTTTAATACACTTTGCAATTTTGCATATGGATAATAACTACTTTTTTGAGAGACCTTTTTTGGTCTGATTGGAAAAAATGTTCAGTGTGCGGACAAATTCAGCGACTTGTTGTACTATATTATATTTAATAAATTAATTCAATGGCATAATCAAACAAATTGACTACATCACTCTCCTCCGATAACTGCCCGATGTGCTGGTGCGCTATGACTGCCATCACTTCATTTGGATGGATTCTGTACACAGGTGACAATAAGCTTCTCTCCAGTGTGAATTCTCATGTGACGTTTAAGATGTTTATGTTGCCTGAAGCTCTTCGCACACTGAGGGCAGGTGAAAGCAGGGCCGTGCAGAGACCTTTAGAGGGGCACACATGGAACACGGCTTTTAATAGGGCTGAAACGGATGCTTCTGTATTGATACAGCAGCAAATTGTGACGCAGTTTTGAAAAAGAAACCCAGAACAGAAAAGACCATTTTAAGGTTAAAAGTTAAAGATTTTTTTCTTTGCACCTTCTTAATTACTCTGGAATTAGAAACTGAATTATATTATTGATATTATTATTATTATTATTATTATATTAAATGAAAAGTATTTATATATTATAGTACTGCCTTTAATTTAAAGTTTAGAGAGAAAAAACACAAATGATGAATGTTTACTGTAATGTTCTCAATAGACTATATATGTTTTTATTTTTTTATTTTATAATGTACACGTATTTATGTATTTGCTGTTAAATGGCTTAAAATGTTTATTTAGTGATTTTTATAACCAACATTTCTGGTGGTTTTGCTGTTGTAAACACTACGGTTGCTGTTGTAGAAAAAAATATTTCTGTCTTATTTAAAACAGAATTCTATTCTAATCCTGTTCTGAATTTATTCATTTTTTTTGAATAATGATGATTAAAAACAGGATTGATAAGTATAATTCGGAGGATGAGAAAATCAGTATAAGCCTTACCAGTGTTGTAATTATTTTTAAGGCACTTTACGTTTTTTAAATAAATACTGTAAAAATAATAGTTCAAAGTATGAATAGTTTTTAGTCAGATAACATAAAAAAAGATGAGACCCCTCAACGCCCTTTAAACTTTTCCCAATTAAACAGCAAGAACGAAAGAGAACGAAAGAGAAAATATTTAATTTTAATAAAATGTAAATTCGTCCCCTGCATTTTATTCGGGCAGGTGTGTTCTAGATTTAAATTCAAAGAGAGTATCGATAGTCTATGCATGACCTGACGTTTTATTCGTATCCAAAATGAGGAGATGTGAATATCAAGAGCGCTGAGAGTTCATGCAGTGCATGTTTAATTCATACTCGAAGCCAGAGGGCGCTCTCGTGCAGAAAGTCCAAAACAGACTCATAGAAGTAATAACTTATGACGTGCAGGAAATCCCTAATATGGACAAAAGCATCTGGCTATTGCTGTAGCTGAGTTGAATAAAAAGCAGAAACGTTTTGACTGATGAAACATGAAGACAATAAACACACAATT